GTCAGAAAATGTTGATGCATTGAAAAGCGCTCATCAATATATATTAGCAGATGAAGTTTGATAAAAGTATCTGGAATAGTTTCTTTGAAACTGAGCTGAATGCAAAGTGTGACGGAAGGACATACATTATATGCCCCGGTCCTATTTGTGGCGGGGCATAAAATTGGTTCCAGGTCCTCAGAAGGATTTCAGATGTTTGTAACACAGAATAGTATAGAAATATAAATCAAATTATTTTCAATAGTGGTAAACATATACAAACTGAAAATGATGCAAGATTTGAAAAAACTGCTGCGTATCATAGAAGTGAGACATTAAAGACTTATTTTAAAAAGGTTTGCAAAGATTAAGAGCCTAGATAATTAACCTCTCGACACAGTTATATTGATGATAATATACTTCCTGTATCTTCAGTCCCTAACCTTTGTCTTTGTCATAAAACTGTGTCAACTCATATAAATTTGACCTGAAAAAAGGTATGCTTTGTCATTTAGTCATCTCAAAAGTGTCTATTCTCTGTAGACTAAAGGCAATAGATCCTGCACGCGATCCTGGATTTACGATAATGTATAATACTGTCATTCTACGGTGGAGATAATTAAAGGCGAATATTCGATTCAAGTTCCTGAAGCTTCATCAATATTTTGACATACTAGTTTTCATCTTATAACTAGTATTGATTTAATTTCCCATCAAAATTGTTAAATATTTAAACACCGAGCCCAGTCTTTTCGTATTCACAGTTGCATACACATAGAGCACAGGCCTTTGGATCGCTTAAATCCGACTTTAAAAAATTGGGGTGTATTTTTTTTTAAAGTGATCTAAGGGCCTGTGACATAGAGTAAACTCCATCAAGGTGAGCTAAAAAAAAAATAACCATTAACATTTTTCCAAATCAAAATTACATAAAAAGAAACCCCGTATAATGAAACCAACCAACCACCATCAGCCAAAAAATAAATAAATTGGCAGCTCTTAAAGCGCCGCTTGCACCATTCACTACAATTAATAATTGATAAACAGAATTTTACATAGGTTATGGTCTAAAATTGTAACCGATTTCCTTGATACAAAAATGAAGTAGCTTTTTCAAATATGGTCATCATCTCCAAGTTTGTTGTTGTTTTGTTTGTTTGCTTCTGAAATCCGACAGAACTTCTGTTCTTTGAAATCAAAAAGAGGCTCAGGGACCTAGACTCGTTTTTTGGACAAATTGCACTACTATGTCAGTGTGATCTACATTTGGGTCAACATATACCGAGGTCCAACGCATATACATTTACAAGGTTGATATCCTTTTAGTATCCAAGCTGAAAGGATTTGACAATGAAAGATGCTAAAATTAGAAATACAGGTTACTGTGACCTACCTTTAGGTTTCACCCATCCCTGTGTCCCAAGATGCATCAACTTTCTAGATTTAATGCATGGGCGGATACAGGATTTGTGATTGGGGGGGGGGGGGGGGCGTGGATAATTTAGTTTAGGCAGGGGGTGAAGCCCTGGTGGGGGCTCAAGGGGCGAAGCCCCCGGAAGCTCCTGGGTTTTCGTGTATTTTAAGAGTAAAACCAGGCACAATAATAGTGGTATTGGTTAGTTTATATGTACCAAAGTTTGGCATTATTAATACTAGTCATATCATACTTTGAATAGATGGGGCCCAGGAGGCGAAGCCCCCGGAAGCTCCTGGGTTTTCGTGTATTTTAAGAGTAAAACCAGGCACAAAAATAATGGTATTGGTTAGTTATATACCAAAGTATGGCATTATTAATATTAGTCATATCATACTTTAAAAATTTTAGGGGGGGGGGGGGGCGTGCGCCCCCCACGCCCCCCCCCCCTTGAATCCGCCAGTGTAATGACTCTGAAAGTCGTAGTTTAAAAATATTCACAGATTTCAAATTGCTTAAGCTATATATGGCGTATCTGAGCTAAAAAGTGATAATACGAGATTGAGTCTATATACATTATAAAATATTTATTTTCAAATTAAAATTTTCACCGATTTTGAACTCGAATAAACTCACGTTTCTATAATTAAATTGACTTTAAATGTGTCTTTTATTTAAATCTGGAGTCCGTAAATAAATCGGTTATTGTTTTAATTTTTTGATATCTTTGAAACGCGGTTGATTTAAATTGTGTAATTTGCAGAAAAGTCCTATCTTTATATAAAGTAATAAATAAAAGTTAAATTTTGGTTATCTGAACTTATCAAAAATACGCCATATACGACTTTAAGCATAGAAAATAGATCATTGTGACCTATTCTTGGGTCAGTCTAAGCATTTTGTTATCCAAGATGCTTACCTTAAAGTTTTGAAAATGAATAGCCGTAAAATTCAAAAAAAAGTCATTGTGACCAACTTTTTAACCCACCATGAAGCTTAAATTGCATCTTGACAAGACCTTCCTTTAGATACCAACAATTATAGCCCATTGACCTTGACCTTGGAGTTTGACCTACTTTTAGAAAACTTAAACCTTGGCCATTACTTTGAGCAGTTGATGCTAGGGCTTTCATACTTCACATGTGCATTTCTTGTGAGAAGGCCTTCCCTTGGGCACCATTATTTTTGACCATTTGCTCATTTGACGTTTCACTTACTTTTGAAAAACTTTTAATCTTTTCCATATCTTTTCAATGGTTGCTGATAGGACTTTAACATTTCACAGGTATATTTCTCGAGACAAGACCTTATTTTGGGTACCAACATATTTGATTTGCATTTGAGAAAGATTAACCTTTGCTATAAGTTGCCAAACGGGGGCATCAGTGTTTCACAAACACATCTTGTTCTTTAAACTTGTCATCCTCAATAAGGTCACTTGCTACAAATTTTTTTCAAAAATTCTGAAAATAGACACTAGATTTATGTTTATATAAGTAAAAAGATCAACTTTAACACTGCAAAATTAATTTTAAATCAAGATTTCTCAATAGCTGTCCTCTAAACTGATAAAAAAAAATTGCATCTATTTATCAGGGAAATGGCATATATGAATTACAATATGCATATTACATATGAACATGAATAATAATTTCTTAATATTTTAGAAATTTGATATTTGCATCATTTACAACCAAATTAATAAAAAAAATATAATCACTGCATCCAATTTGTTGTTTGTAGCAAGTGTTCTTTAATGTAAATAAACAAGAACTGCAGCAAATCTATGCATTATAATCATCAAATGAACAGAACAGAATAAAGCATTTGATGACAAGTCCAATTTTTCAATGAAATGTTTTTAAGGAATAAAACCAAACACAGTTTTACTGAAAATAATGGTAGTATTTGAAGATATTCTGACAACAAGTTTGTAAAAAGAGAACAAATGGCAATATAGTACAGCATTCAATAGAGTGATAATGCTTCTGAATATATTGAGCAATGTGACTTAGACATCAAACAGTGCTACTGGCAGATCACTTTACATATATAATGTACATCTATCATATTAGAAGGGGGTGGGGGTTCAAACATATGAAGCTATATACAGGAGGAATGAGGTCAAAAATATTTAAGCTTGGATTGCTCCCGTCATTCTGTTAATAAAAATACACAAGGAGTCGGGAGACTGGTACGGACAGCCAGATATTTGAAAGGTGATTTTATGCTATGTTGTCACAACAATCAGATTCTATCATCCAAATTGTTACAAAATTGTGAAACAAATTATTTGGCAATAATTGTTTAGGAGTACTTGTATTTGTTAATTCTATACAAATTGGTTTTGTGGAAAATCTAACCTATTTTGTTATCTGCACATACATATTCAGTACAAAAACACAGATACATTCAAAATGATAAAAATAATATGGAAATATCTTTGGAAAACTTTCATGAAAATGTCACAATTATTGAAGTAACTTTTTTTCACCATCTACATACAAGTGAAATATTTACACTTTCTATATTAAATATTTTGATGATTATGCTATTAAGCTTGTAATATCTAAGACATTTATTATCAAAATGCAAAATAGAGAAGATATATGTACCGAGTAGTAAAGTCATTGTACATTGATATCCTATCAGTTAAATTTAACAAGGGAGATAAAAACAACATTACTGCATTGTAAACAAAAATATTGTCACAAATGGAATTTGGTGCACCAAATAACCACAATTATGAAACTGACACATTATCAACAAAACAAAAATACAAGTAATTGTTCACTTCAACATAAAATATCACCTCTCAGCTTTTTTTCTAGTTTAGAGATGCATTATTTAAAGCACTACAGAATAATGATAATCCGCGTGTTCACAAGCATACATATAGTTATTATAGCACTTCTTTCCATACTTTGTTATATATATTTCTGGGTATGGTTCCCCAATAACAAACTAAAATATGACCCTTAATAAACATTTTAAGTCTAAGCATTCATTTTCTTATTTTCAATAAATCCCTCATTGTCTTAAAAAGAGCACCTTTTAATAATCAATTCTTAGTACACAATTAAATGCTAGATGATTATCCCTGATTTCAAATTTTGATCCCCAAAAATTGTACAGGAAAATTGGTACCACATCTGTTACAGAGTTCACAGGAAATATTATGGTAAATACTGCAGTAAAAAGGTCAAAGAAAAGCAGATTGAAAAATCAATACAATTTAAATAAATCACCATATTTGTTATAACCAAACTAGACAGTTACTTATATATAGGAACTTGAAGTTTATATATTCATTCCTTTGTTTACTCACTGATTTATTCAAGAAATTATTTCAATTTTGAAAGCAAATGAAGGTATGACCTATTGCTTTCCACCCAGACATAATGATAAAGCATAGGTAAACCTCATGAACTTAAAAAATCCAGATACATGTACATCTTAGGCCCCAAAAAATATCTATAGTTTCTCAGGCACTGCTGAATCAGGTCACACACTGCCATATTGGACATACTTACTGACATACTGAAAGAAGGAAATCTCAATTTTCGGGGGGGGGGGGGGGGGGGGGGGGTTTCAAGGTGAAAAAAAAAATGAGTTATGCCCCTTTGCATAAAGAAAGATGTTTTAAAATGATAGTTAATGAACTTTTCTAAAAAAAATGTTTGGAGTAACATTATCTTAAGTAGAGTACATATTATAATTAACATAAGAGTACACAAAGAAAAGAATTAGTTGAAATCATTTTATTGACTGCAAGAGATGCCTGCTTCAAAAAGAAAAACAGACCTGCCTGTCGAAGTGAATTTTGGGCCTCAGAAGGTAAAGATTTTTTGGGGGGGGGGGGGGGGGGGGCTTACATTTACATTTTAATTACTCATTTATTTCCTTCAAACATGCAGTAATTGACAAATTAGGGGTTTGTGTCCCCATTTTAGCTTAGTGTCTTTAGTATTACACATTGTAAGTTGAAGATCATGTGAATGTATAACCTTAGAATTCCTTCAGAGGAATCCGCAATATAAATCACATCATTTGAGGTTTTTGTTGCTCTAAGTGTTCAGAAGGTATTGCAGAACAATACAGGTATTAATATTTTTTTTTACTATTACATGTATTTAAATCTATTTTGGTAATGCCCTACATTGAAAAATTCAAAGAATATCAGCAAGTTTTACACATGGTTAAGAAATGAAAATTCTGTCCAAGGGAAATAACTCTAAATGAAATATGACAATATTCTGCAGAATGAATTCATTCATAAAGCAGTATGGTTATGTGAATGTGTTTCAAAAAGTAACATCTCTCTCAAAATAATTCATCAACTACAAATACATGTAACAAGCAAAAATATATATATATAGTTGAAAGCACATAAGAAATAAAATATAAAACAAAGGAATGAGATTAGCACTTGTAAATTTTTCATTCACTGATGATAAACATAAGCATGTGCGCTATAGACCACTTAAGTATGCTATTTCAAATGTTAGTAAAACAAAGTAATCCAGATGTTCACACATATAAAAATTACCCCAAGCAATACCAAATACTGTTAATCAAAGTTATATTTTAGTGTTAGGTCAAAATAGTTCTAATACATATACTCTTAATAGTTTTATTAGAAAAAAAATTGAACACTATAGAGATAATACAAAAAAAAAGGTTCTGTTCAGATTTTTTTTTTTTCCCAGTGAAAATTTAAAATTGGGAAAAGGAGCTTCTACCACTCACTGAAAAGAGCTTCAGATGTAGGGCAGGCTATAAAGTATCAACTGAGCCCAAGAGAACTTGCTGCAAATCTCACTGTTATAACCCTCGAGCTATTCAATGATGTAAATAATTTACTTATCTACTGCAGCAGAGTTTTACAAAATACCAGTACATTATTTCATCCTTTCCACAAACTTTACAGAATATCACACGCCCTATAATATTGCAATTGGAATTCCACAAAAACACCTTATACTGGAGGTAGATCAATTTTCTTTGTAAAGATAATTCAACATATCTTTCAACTTTTTAAAAAAAAAAACTTTTGTTGAATGCTGAATATAAAATTTATAATTAAACTTGTATCTGTGATTCTCCTTGATATAAACCCAAGAGTTTTACTCTGTATGTACAATTGCTGTAAATATATTTACAGGATTACATTCTGCATTGTCTCTTTTTTTAGATCCTCTGATTTCCCCCAAAATTTAGAAAATAAATATTAACAATTTGTAGTACTTTGTTAGTGATAGCAATCACACGTTAGATATCAAATGATTAAATACAACAAGAACTTGTCAAAAATATGACAAAAAAAACATAGAAAAAATCTTTAGATAAAAAGGTATAGTTTTCTTTTCTTGGAATTGGCTCTCTAGCATGATAGAGAACTACAACCTTCTCTCATTCACTGATCCATAACAAATAGCTCCCTCTGATATGTCACACATGATCGACGCTGTCACACATGATTGATACATGAAGATGTATAATACTAGGATCAAACTGCTGTAGAACTCTTTGGTCTGTTTTTCCCCCTACGTTGAGCCAGAACAGAGGCTCCAACAGGTTCCAGGGTTGGTTTGGGAGTATTGTTCAGTGCCTTAAATGTGGCAGTCATTGCTCCCTGTTAGAGAAAAACAACACTTAAACTGTTAACTTGTAAAACAAGAGACAAGCTGTATAGAAAAACAACATTTAAAACTGTTAACTTGTAAAACAAGAGACAAGCTGTATAGAAAAACAACACTTAAACTGAAAACTTCTAAAACAAGCTTTACAGAAAAAAATCTCCAGATTCTACTTTTAAAATTTACCTACTGTAGATTAACTAACTAATAGTAGTTTAAGAAATATTTCTTTCATTGTCCATTGTACTGTATACAAAGAATTCTTCACTGCCATTTTATTTTTGCCCCTTTCACCCTCCTTGCAAGTGGGAAAATTTAAAATGGGGTGAATTCAAAGAAGACAGAGTTCTCTCTTTAACAAAACTGTACCTGGGCAAATTTAAATTGGGGCAAAATAGTTTGAAAATGTGAAAGGTTATACACAACACAGGGTGAAAATAATCCTTTATACAGTGGGTCTGGAGAGGAGGGCTGATTGCTACCACAAATATTTAAATAGCAGACATACTACCAAAATCAATGCGTTTCCATAATGTACAATCCCATTATTTTAGAAACATTTAAATAATTTTGTTTATTCCAAGGCTACAAGTTACCTTTACAAGCTGCGCATCTTGGAGAGTAAGCCTGAACTGTGGAAGAGCCTCTCTTTGAGCTACCCAAGGATGATTTAGGACCTGTGTAGCTGACAATCGGCTCCCAGGGTCAACATGTAACATTTTTTGTACAAGATCCTGGTCAAAAACGGAAGATATGATTAGACAATGCTACTGAATCAGAAGACACCATTAATACATATTCAAGTTTGTATAAAGTAAGATGTGATAATTCTGCTGGAAATTTCTTTCAGTACAATATACTGAGGATGTATTTCACACTTGTTGTAATGGATGGATAATAACTGTCTGCTTCATAATTTTCTGATAGCAGAGGCCTCAAACGTGTAGTCTGGTATTAATACCAACGGATGAAAACAGATAGAAATAGGTCACCTTCATAATCTTCTGATAGCAGAAGCCTCAAACATGTAGTCTGGTATTAATACCAATAGATGAAAACAGATAGAAATAGGTCACCTGAGTGACTTAAGTGAACTTATTAACATCAAGAATTTTTTTGTACTTGTGACATATCTGAAACTTGATGACATTGTGTTTATACTTAACTGAAAACATGGTTAGAGTGCAAATTAACAATCAGAACTTCTCAATATGTAATAGGGAAATATCAATAATGATCACAACTGACCTTTGCAGCTGCTGAGACAGAGTCCCAGTTCCCCCCTGCCAAGGTAAATTTGCCCTCTCCAATACGAGATAGGATATCATTGGGGGTATCATTTGGTCCATTGGCAAATGGTGTGTGCCTACAATTATACAATTAAATGTATGTCATACAACTACTGACAAACACACAATTCTTTCACAGCCTATTGTGGTGGTAAACTGATTTTTTGATTTTTTGAATTCCTACCCTGCTAGCATTGTGTAGAGGAGGACACCCAGACTCCAGATATCACAGGCTGCATCATAGCCTTGTCTTTTCAGGACCTGAAACCAAACAAACACCAAGGTGAGTTGGAATCTTAAAATGTAAGAAATGCATCACTTGAATGTATTGAGTCAACTTTCCTTTAAGGTTAACAATATCCAGAAATGTTATATATGAAAGCTAGTTGTGATTCATACAGGTACATTTATATAAAATATGACCAGTTCAAAATGCTCTCATACTTGCTCCCTATTACCAAAGTACATGTAAATGTTTATACATGTACCAGTTCAAGTTAAACATTAAATGCGTATTCTTTTCCTAAACTACAGGATAGTCATTGTAAAATACAGCATGCACTCAAGAATACATTGGATAGTTCATCCCAACTCAGGTTCTACAATCACACTGCAAGGAAATAAAGGAACCCTCCCAAGTTGTTAAACAGACATGTGGATGACCAATGTGTTAGTAAACATCTTTCCTCACCTGGTTGGCAAAACCATTCAAATCAGGCAGTGTTCCAGCTAAGATTTGCAATGGGCAGGGCAATTGTACCAAAGGCATAAAGTCCATTTAAGGATAAAAATGGATTTTTTGAGAGGAGCACTTGCATTTGAGGCATACTTATTCAGACCCTATTTGTCTGTCCTTAACTTTTTTTTACTTTTTCAGAATGGTCACGAAAAGGAAGCAGCCCACTAAAAAGAAATGGTTCCTGGAACTTTCAAGCAATATATATAAACTAACCTGGTCATTTGAGCTAAAGATGCTTTGAAAGGGGAAAAAGATGAACTATGTGATGTATGCATATCCTGAAAATGGGAAGCTACCCAATTTAATCTCATTTTAAAATGTTTTCATGAATGTGTATTTTGCCAGAAAAGGAATCCGATATGCCACCTTCAGATTTTAAGCAGTCAGAGAAAACTGGCAGGGTTTTATTTGAAGGGTGTCTCATTGATCAAGTAAAATTAGGGTAGAAGATACATGTGAGGGAAAAATTTTAACTTTGCCTGAGAAATGTATTTACAGTGGATTCTATCTATCTGCAGATTGATCATACGATCTTAGGAATTCTAGTGCTCTCCAAATTGTTTTAAATTTAATCAGTTGGCATGCTCACAATTGAGGTGAGCAGTTTTCTTAATCTGAAAATTAATCAGTTTTTCCCTTGGTATACTAAGCAAAATAGTCCAGGGTAAAAAAAAAGAAGCTTTTTAAAAATAAAGAAAATATATTAACATTTTCATCTACCTCATAAGAGAACAGCTATTTCTCTGCATTCTTGAATGCGATGTGAAATTACATAATGCTGTTTTATGTCCTTTACTGTGTATTCAATGTGCTTGTATAAGGATGAATTCAGGAGATTGATAAGGTTTGTGTAAACAATCAAATTGTTGTATAATAATGCAAGCAATCATTACAAGTTGAAGAAGGGCAAAGTGTGCCACAAGACAAAGAGCAGGTGCTTGGCTATTTAAATATGGCTTAGCTGGAACACTGTTCGATCTCACACATTAATTATAAAAATTAATATTTTTTAACTATTTTGGCTTATTATGGATTTATGACAGACAAATCACAATCAATAAAAAAAGTCTAGCAAAAGCAAACAGAAGTACTGCCTTCATGCCTATCAATCAAACATTTTCATGGAATACTTTTCAATGTTTACACAAGAAATAAATATATATCTAAGACATCTTTTTTTCTCTCTAATTTACTGAAAGAAGTAAAAGAACACTCTATCCTGCCACCCAAACCTCTTACCTTAAAGGATAAATTGGCAACAGAATTTGGAGTGCTCTAAAATAATATTATCTTTTTGTTGAAGTACAGAGTCAGTAATTAATCAGTTATAAGCTGCCCGAAATGAATTTTAACCTGACCCCATCCATCTCAGAATTTGAAAACTTCAACTCGGTCCCTAAATCTATCTTATAGTGTCCAATTTTATAACTGAACAAAACTACAATTCTTATATTTTTAAATGTAAGCCTGCTTTCAAGGAAAACTCCATTGGACAAATTTCACAGCAAGCAACCTAACACAATGTTTTCCACCACCTTGCTAAAACAACTCACCTCAGGTGCCACAAAGTTTGCTGTGTAGCATGGGGTCATAAGAAGGCCGTTGTCTGCTCTCAGCTGCTTTGCGAATCCAAAGTCGCAAATACGCAGGCTGTCTGGTGAGCCTGAATTATCAGCGTACAGAATGTTGGATGGCTTCAGATCTCTATGTACAACCTGACAGTGAACAAAAAAAAAAAAAAAAACAATGTTTCTGTTATCCCAACCCTCATCCAGTTCTTTTCATACATGTATATTCATCTGAAATCATTTCACTTTTCATGGAAGTTTTAAACAAGAATATGCCTATCTTTTTAAAAATACTCAGTGTAAATGAGTATCAGTATTTGCTTTACACTTTGCAGTCTTAAGTCAGACCTGAAACTTCCCCCTCCCCCCCCCCCCTTTCTTAATATGGCTTCCTTAGGTAGTTTAATTTCAAACTAAAATGACAGAGATACATTTATTTACAGACCAGACACTTACTCCATTTGCATGCAGATATTCTACAGTCTTAGCTACTATTTGTAGAACTGCACTGGCTTCCCTTTCTGAGAAGAATCGCTGCCTTAAGATTTTGTCCAATAATTCTCCACCTTGCATTAACTCTGTCACCATATATACTTTATTGCCATTATCAAACACCTGAAAGGACAGAGGGATAACATCAAACTTTCATTGGTACATGTATGTGTATTGGAAATATTCACTGAGGACTACTGTTAAATGTATATGTACTTGCATATAGCATTTGGTGTATTGTCTCCTTCTAAAAAAAAATCCAGCTTTAACACATGAACCTAACTCCTTCCTGCATCATATATTGGTATTCCAAAAAGAAAAACAAATTAAATTGAATTCTTCTTTTACTCCATATATCTCGAGACTGATCTACTTACATCTCTAAGGGAGATGATGTTTGGATGGTGACCAAACCTCAACAAGATTTCTACTTCCTCTGATGGGTCCCTCTTCTCTTTGTCCATTATCTACAGTTACAATGTACCAAGACATAATAAAGGAAAACAAAATTCATACATGTACATGTTCTTTTATACAGGCACTGACATTATTTCATAGAGCAAGTTTTCTTGTAACAGGTATTACCGGTATTTATTGTTCTCGAGAAGATTTTTAAAAGATTTTTTCCTACATATTCCTATACAAACTTGTGGCCTCACCTTACCCTCAGGGGTCACGGTTTGAATTAAATATTAACTAATAATGGATTTGCTGTTCTTGAGAAGGGAGAAGGACATTTTAAAAAATGCAAATCTGCACTATGTAATGAAGCTTTCACATGAGTTTCAACTTTTCTGGCTCAGTGATTCTTTAGCCAAAGATTTTAGAAAGATGCCATTAAATTTTCACTAATTCTTAACTATCTCCCCCTTGAAAGAGGGCATGGCCCTTCATTTGACAAAATTGAATCCACTTCATCTAAAGATGCTTTGTGGCATGTTTGTTTAAAATTGACCCAGTGGTTCTAGAAAAGAAGATTAAATTGTGAAAAGTTTACAACAATAACAATGACTGTAAGCAAGGGAAAATTTCAATCAGAAGAGCTCAGAAGAATTTTGCTTAGGTGAGCTAAAAAGACAGGCAGTTTTGAATTACTAATCCGAAGTTGTAAATCTTACCTTGACAGCAAATTGCTGTCCTGAGCCTTTGTGTATACAACGCTTACACACAGAATACGATCCTATTCCAATATCCTGAAATGAATACAAATCCATTACTAAGCACTACTAATGATCAAAAGATGAGCACAAAATAATTAATATCTATACATGAACTTTAGGGTCTGACCGCATGTTTCTTTAATATCTGTTTTGTATCTCTTCAGAATATACATATAAAAAAATTATTCATAGTTATCATTATCTTGTGGCTCCTAAACTGTTTTCAAATTTTTTTTTTAATAAACATAAATACATCAAAAATTGTGATATTGACAACAAAGTGATTTCCAATAGGATTACATAGGAAACACCATCCTCTTGCACAATAGCCTGGTATTAAAGTACTTCAGTTTTTTTGTGAGGACTCTTGTTAAAGTAGCAATACTTCACTGACATATTCTCTAGAAAAAATATATATTATTGATGATTGTGTCTTCTGACCTTAAAGAATGAATAAATGAAGTTAGTTTTACAGAGAAAATTTTTCTCCATTATACTTCCATTTTTTCTTTCTTCCCCTTACATGCCATGTTGGTTATCAATAAAACATACATGTATTTTAAAAAAGCAAGTAATACAAATTACCTCTTTTGTTTCATATTCATCTGAGAAAGCTGTACACTTTACACCGGGTAGCTACAATAGCAAGACAGGATTTATATATAGTTATTTTTCATAGTTATATTAAGAGGGAAAAAAAGAACTGTTTAAACATTACAAAAACATTGTTCTGAAGGATTTGTTTGCATGGAAAGAATTTTTTTGATCTCACAATCATATAAACTTGCTGATTTTAAGGCAATTTGATTATCTAATGTAGAGCTTACTGATTTTAAGGCAATTTGATTATCTAATATAGAGTTGGAAACATGGTTTTCTTCTCCTAGTAAAGCTGGTGCCACAAAACTGAATCCTCGGAATAACTCATGGGCTGTAGCACTAGGGGGAATTCCTGGGGAATCTTTAAACAAAGTCAAAGAATTTCAAATAATATTTTACATCAATTTTTACAAAAATCAATTAGTTTTAACTCAATAACTGTATACACATAAACATATATACAGGGTGTCCCAGAATATACGATACCATTTCAAGATTCTGTAAAACCTAATGTAGTGAATATTGAATTACAATAAATGCATTATAAACATTGCATATACTGTCCAATTTTATTCACATAATTTGACAGTCATTAAAAAGAAAACAACAAAGTGAGTTCACTTTTAAAAATGTTATGGTTTTTAAATGATGCCCTCTGAATGACGTTCTATTTGTGTAAATGATGATGTCTAGACATTGCACAAAGTTCCTTAACTTGAGACAACAGTGCCTGTCTCGGTAGTAACTTCTGCATTTTCATCAGAGGTAAACCTTTTATATATGTTAAGGATTCTGGTTTGGGTTTAGCAGCAGTAACCTAAGACTAGGATGATAATTACAGTTTCAAAATGAGGGTAGCTAGCTCTTTTGATAATCCATTTTGATCGAAATTGCAGTTTTTTGCAAAAGTTTGATGTAAATTTGATACGTTGCAATTTCAAAAGTGTGAGAATTTTTTTTTAAATAATTTGTCTTAAAAAAATGTACTTATTCAAATATTTTTTGAGACATATATCAAAGAAATTGGCCTAGGGATGTGTTTGTGGCAGGTATTTCAAATGGTATCATATATTTTGGGACACCCTGTACACTAGACAAAATTGCCAACACACCATTTAATATTCTCATTTATATATTACATTTATTTAATCAGCACAATTGAATTCAATATGCAAGTTTGCCTTATACAGCCAAATTGGTGTCAAATTAAGAACCCTCCTATCTGTAAACCAATTTCTTGAAGCTAACTGTGCACCTTTTATCGACCGATATTAAATATTACCTGGTATTACCTTCACCTATAAATGCTACATGCCAAAATGGGTTGAAATTGGTTCAGAGGTTCCAGAAGAAGATGAAACTGCTCAAAAGTTAACAGATGACGCTTGACAAAAAAGATAGCCATAGATCACCTGAGTCGCTCAGGTGACCTAAAAATTGGTAGTATTCTTACCAGTTTTGGCACTTAAATGTCTTATTTATAACTAATGTAACAAATTTATACATTAAATAGCATTAAATACAGCATAAACAAGTTTGGGAAAGTATATATGAATTTTCTATGATGATGTGTTAGCAATTTTGTCTAGTGTACATGTAAATTCCATCTTTGAATCACATACATATACATGTACATATCAGGTCTATATTATCCACCAGACACACTCATTTCAAATCCTCAATTATCATTGAATTAGGGAGAAAAACCTGTTATCTAAAATTCCAATGCATACATATACATAGTGTCGTTAACTACTCAATTACCTTTGGGTGTGCGTGTAGTGAATTCTGGGTCAAAATAAAATGCATCATCAGTCTGTACCACAGCTGGTTTAAACGGAGGATTTAAAGCACGTTTATAAAGTTTATCAAAGTCTATATTGCTGAAAAAGGGTTGTTTCTTAATATCTTCTATGCCATTTGGTCCTGAGCCTGCAATAAGTATGTCATAAAGAATAATGACTTTTCTAACAGAAGAAATAACTGATCAATTTTTCTAAACCTCTATTTTTGACAAAAATGTTGTATACCTTTAATGAAATATTCACAATTTTTATTAACCCATCAAATATATGTTATACAAATAACTTCTTTCAAAAGGAGCAAATTTGCTCTGAATAGTCAGAAAACGAATGATCACCTGAACATCCTGTACATATTTCTGTTACATACCTAACCTATTCAATGGATTTCTTTTAAACAAAGCACGTAACAACTGTTGAGCGTCTGAGGACAAAAACTGTGGCATTCCTAATTTGGCTCTGAAAAATAAGAATTACATCTTTAGTCTTTTCTTAGAACAGTGTAAAACACCAAGCATAGTCTTTAATTTATCAGGATATCTGTGAAATAAGGCAGAGATTTATTCCACTGTAACTTCTGAACAGGACTTTTACAAGAAGTAATATCGTCAACTCTCATCTTGACAAAATAGTCTTTCTTACAACTGGTGGGTAAAATTTAGTAAAAGACAGAAAAAAACTAACTTTCCTCTAATTCTTTCCTCTAAATTTCTAATCTTGGGACATGGAATTTTTTTAAAGAAGGAATATATTGCTCACTTTAAGATTTGAGTCATGGTATCTTTTCTATTTGATCCTTGAAAGGGGAGAGCACCAGTTAACATCTCAAACTAAAATAGAAAAGTGATAATGTATTAACATACTCTTACAATAACAGTAAACCAAACCAGATCCTGGCCTGGGTCTCAAGTTTACCCCATTGTTCAATGTATATACATGTAGCTCCAAATCAATATTAAAAATAATAATACATGCATAATTACAAAAAAATTAAAATTAAAATCCAACATTTAAAACAAACATAAAATCCATTCAAGTTTGATAACTGAAATAGCTGTGAAGTTCATGCTGTAAAATATCAGGTAAATATTATCAAAAGTGTGCAGACAACGGACTACCAACCATGAGGACACCGAATGACCACCAGTCAGCGGCCGTACTGTGACCCTTCCTGTTGACCACCTCCGGGGCCATGTATTCTACAGTTCCACAGAAAGAGTAAGTCTTTTTCTCCTCAAATATTGATTCTTTGCTCAGACCGAAATCGGTCAGTTTGATGTGACCTTCATGATCCAGCAGAATACTACATCAAAATCAAAGCATAGAGGTTAAATTGTAAAAATTTGTTACCATAACAATTGACTCATACTTGAAAATGACAAGAAAAAATACTTTTTCATAGTGTGAAGAAATACATATCATTACTATAGCCATTGATAATGTACATGTAAATTGTCTACAAGGATTTGCTTCTGAAATTCTCTACATTCTTATTTATATGTAATAATTAATGAAGAATAAGAGAATGAACAACAACGATTATTCTATTTACGTGAACTGCAACATAACTTCAAAAATATGCACTATAAAAATGATATTGCAAAAATTTGCCATATCAGTCACAGAATGCATTTACATGTAGAGATCTCACAGCTGCTCTGATGTATGGATTAGATTGGAAAGACACAATCTCACTGTAATCAAGATTCTTCAATCATATCAGAGAAAGAAAGGCAATGGATAACACGAGACTTACTTCTCAGGTTTGAGGTCTCGATAAACAATACCAAGGGAATGAAGATGATCTAATGCGAGAGCCAGCTCAGCCAGGTAAAATTTGACATCTTCTTCTGTAAACATTACCTGTCAATATTACACGCCATTCATTAACTTAATACATATAAAGTAAAACATTACATGTCAATATAACATGAACTAAACATTACTTGACAATATTACATGTAACTGATTGATGGTATAAACTTTGCATGTCAGTGATCAAATGAATAAATATTACCCTTCAGTTATTAACTGTATACATTACAGTTATTAACATTACATTACATACAAGTTATTAATGTACACGTTTTATTTAGTTAAAAGCACCTACACTGTCCATTTATTTAAAAATCGTTTGAAATAGACCATCAAATACAAAATGATCTTTTACAAGGAAGGAACTGAGCACATCTGATCAATAAAACCATACGTGTGGGGTGTTTTTTTTTTCCTATGACAATTCTTTACAAAGAAAAACATGGCTTTGAAAAAATATTTACCCCAAAATTATTAAATTCCCCTCATTTGTTTCTGAGGGAAATGCAGCAGTCATTATACAAGCCTTTCTACTGGTTACATAACTATCTTCCTGTTGACTTTATGCTTTTTTATCATGTCAGACTTTTTCTTGATGGTCTTTTTTTTCATCTCGTGAGATAATTAGTGTTTGTATTAAGGGAATGATAATTACTTTAATGATAAGTACGATGTTTGTCCTTCTTGTTAATTAAACTGTCATTGCTGCAGTGCACTAAACTGTGGGGGTTGGCAGTATATTGATTTTGGGTAGGAAACCATGATGCTAACAACAATAGGACACGACTGAGGTGTGGGGATATTATATGTATTCTACAGGAAACCAGGAAATCAGCTTACACAAGCTATATAAATATATAATAGCTTAGTAATATCATCCAATTCAAACAGCCACAGTATCCTGTGAACAGCTATGTTCAATATTAACTTTGAGAAATTATATCACACAAACACAAACACCCTCAAACACAAACAACTATTCTATATAATCTTTCAGATCTTACATGTAAATTTGATAAAAAAAGGAGAAGGCATTTTGTTTTTAAATGTCTAACTGAAATTGGACCTAACCATAAGTAGTAGTCTGGGAAATTGTATAGACAGGTAGACAGGCAATGGACACTTTGTCATCATGTAAGCTTGTCAGGTCTATGACTAGCAGGACTGGGTTTTTTTTTTTTTTTTTACCTCACTTGTGTTGAAATGGGTTTTTTTTTTTATCACAAATACATTAAAGAAGGTATATTTATAGACATGTACATACCTCTTTTGATAATCTGGTAAATAAATCCCCCCCTCGGAGGAACCCTAAGATCAGGTATAACTTCCCTTCTGTCTGAAATGCTAATAAAACAGAGACAAGTTATCATTCTAGTAATTAATTTGACATTATAAAGTTCTTTCTCTTTACTGTAGAGAAAGTGCATCACAGTAAGTGCAATTACAGGCATATTACACAAGGACCAACCTAGGGGGCAACTGAGGCAAATTAGTCACTTTTGAGCTCGAAATTCACCGTAAATGGAAGTTCATATAGCATTAAAATCCCCACCCCCTGTTTAAATCATAAGAAATTTATCAATTTTATATATCTTTGATGTTATCACTTCTGAAATGAGGTGAATAAAAGCAGGACACTTGATCTGCTGCTAACTGACCACTGCAATTATCATGATTATGTCTCCCTAGAATTTGAAACTTCTAAACTTCTCTGAGGTAGAAGTGATGTCTTCCTAAATTTGGGGTCTAGGTTGGTCCCTGATTACATATGAATTACACAGGCAAATAAAATACAATGTAGAACCTACTATGCAGACCCTAGCATCAATTTTTCTTAAATTTTTCAAGAGAAATCATTATGGATGACACTCATTTACATGTAGGTCATGACAAAACTAGAACAATTATGAAATCTGTATTTCTGACACAAATTATAGAATTACTATGAACATTTATAAGATTTCCAATACAAATATTAATACTATTACTGTGACCTACAATACACAGTTAACAAAACAATGGAATCCATTGGTTGTTATTAAATATTTATAGTACTTGGAACAGAATACTTGCCATAATGAAGTTTGACTATAAACGGATGGTTGACATCTGCTAGAATATCTCTCTCCATTTTGGTGCGTTCCCTATCTCTTACTGTTGAGAACAAAAAAAAAAAAGGACTACAAGAACAGTGTATTTTCTCCCTAACAGGTCATTAATTAGCTCAAAATTAATTTCTGCTTCACTTTCCCCACATATTTCAAGTAATTCTGAAAATCACTCTTTGAAACCAATTTTCTGATGAAATATTACACCAAGACTTGCCTAAACTGAACATGTTCATAATTAGTGCCAGAAATTTTAAACATCTGGAAAACCTTGAACATATTTTTAATGGTATCCAAATGTATGGATTACTAAAAGTTCAGCATTGCACAACCTCCAGCTATGACGATTTATACTAGCTTTGTAAATTAGACAATCTGCTACCTTTGAGTGTGGCTTTCTTTAAAACTTTCATTGCATACAGTGTCCCTGCATCCTTTCCAGTGATCTTTCTGACCAGGAATACCTACAAAATTTAAAAGGGTAACCTCAATGTTCTACCAAAAAAAAAAAATCTGGTCTTCGTGTTTTTTTTTCAGCTCTTTTCTTACCAAGATTGCCCTTACCTTTAAACTGTAATGGTTGATAAGTTGATACAATAGAATAGATCTTAATTATATTAATGATTTATTGAAAAAATTCTATTATTGATATGAAAAAGAAGATGCTAAAAAATATGACATTCTTTTCTTACATAACTGTTGCAAGTTTTATGTAAAATCATAAATCAGTGATGTTGCTAGCATGTAGGTATTTTCTTACATAACTGTTGCAAGTTTTATGTAAAATCATAAATCAGTGATGTTGCTAGCATGTAGGTATGCTTGTATGCCAAAACCATCCACATTATTTTTTTCCAAAAATAAAAAAAAATTTAACGAAAGAATGTTTTTCAATAAATTTCTTTCATAATCAAAGACAATTTGGTTTGTGTTACTGCAAACCAACTTTTATCCACAAGTTTCGCGACCTTCTTTCATTCGAGAATATTTCTCGTTGTGAACCAATTATTCATCTATGTATTTATGTAGAATTTTGGCTTCTGTCACAAACATTAGTAGTCGCAGATGGATTCCAAACTGAAGTATCACAAATAAAAGATATCGCAAATAATAGTTGGTTTACAGTATCTACACACTGCACATTTTTGAGTCTCAATCTAACAATCCTAAATTAATATTGTCAATTTCTGTGAAGCATCAGGAGTCTCCCCCTGGACCTTCTGGGTAGGGAGGGGTTCAATGCAGTCCAGATCCCCATACAGTCAGAAAAGCATCCACATAGCTATTTCTGCCTTGCTATGCCACTACAAATCGATTTATAATAAATAGGGATGCGCTATTTTATCGGTATACCAGTATATTGTGATTTTTTTTATTGCATGATACATATCGTGATACGGAGACTTAAATACCGGTATTTGGTACATAATTAAAAATTCCAGAAATTATTCATTTATTTCTTCGAACTATTAAATAAAAATTACAGTAAGTCTAAAAAATGTTGAAAAAAGTTAAACTATGGCATTTAAACATGCTTTATATTATATAAATAAAAATGAAAAAAGTGAAGTTATTTTTTTTCAGCGTATTTGTAAGAAAATTACAGAAATTCATTAGAATATGTAGTAAAAATTCCGTGTAAAAATATCACGATATTATCGTGATATTTTTAAGAAAAAATCGTGATATATCACGATACGAAATTTTTGGCGGTACCCATCCCTAATAATAAATATACAAAAAAACAAGATGTGTTTGTGAAACACTGATGCCCCCGTATGGCAGCATATGGTGAAGGTTAAAGTTTCTCAAATACAAGTCAAAATCCAGGCCAAAAGATAAAAAATGTTAAATTTGAAAGCCCTAGCTACAACTGTTCAAAAGTTATGGCAAAGGTTAAAGTTTTTTTAAAAGTAAGTAAAACATCATATGTAAAGAATGAAAGCCCTAGCACCAACCATTCAAAAGTTATGGCCAAGTTTAAAGTTTTTCAAAAGTAGGTCAAACTCCTAGGTCAAGGTCAAAAGGTCAAAGTGGTTGGTATCCAAAGGAAGGTGATGTCACAAGGATTACATATGTGAAGTATGAAAGCCCTAGCTCTAACCGTTCAAAAGTTATGGCCAAGGTTAAAGTTTTTCAAAAGTAGGTCAAGGTCAAAAGGTCAAAGAGGTTGATATCCAGAGGAAGATCTTGTCACAAAGAAAACACATGTGACGTTTGAAACCCCGAGCACCCACTGTTCAAAAGTTATGGCCAAGGATAAAGTTTTTCAAGGTCAAGGTCAAAGTTGTTGATATCCAAAGGAAGGCCTTGTCACAAAGAATACACATGTGAAGTTTGAAACCCCAAGCACCAACTGTTCAGAAGTCATGGCCTAGGTTAAAGTCTCATAAAATTTTGCAAAAGTGGGTCAAACTCCAAGGTCAAGGTCAAAAGGTCAAATATGATGGTATCCAAAGAAAGGTCTTGTCACAAGGAATACACATGTGAAATATGAAAGTCATAGCTCCAACCAATCAAAAGTTATGGGCAAGGTTAAAGTTGACAACAGACAGACAGACAAACAGATAAACAGACAAACAGAGGTCAAATATGATGGTACCCAAAGAAAGGTCTTGTCACAAGGAATACACATGTGAAATATGAAAGTCATAGCTCCAACCAATCAAAAGTTATGGGCAAGGTTAAAGTTGACAACAAACAGACAGACAAACAAACAGACAGGACAAAAACAATATATCCCCTGGATCTTTCAATCCGGGGGCATAAAAAGTTAGCACATTCCAAACATGGTCTGATAAGATTAGGACTCTTGGTGTGCAATTTAAGATGCTAACTCTGCATTTATGAAATATTCTTGCAGCATTAATCTACTTATTTCTTGTTATTTGAATTTCAGGAAAATATCATACATGTTTGAATTTGATAGAGGATTAAAATTTGTTTAGCCTGTTGCACAATCCCACCCAATGTTTTATATATACGTATTGAATAAAATATTAAATTACAGCACATGTAACGTGTATAAACATGATTTCAAAATGAGATCATTGTTACCCAAAGTTCTAACAATACTAAAGTGACTGAAATTGTTTTGAATCAAAAACTTTCAACGCAATGGGAAGATGAACATCTTTGAAAGAACTGTTAATATGCTTGGCTGGACTTCCCTTTGGATTACAAGTTATTTTTATGCTTTTGCAATGAACACTTATGAACAGTAATTCTATATATCATTGGAACAGGTTTGTGAATCTACTTGGGATTGAACTCAGAACCTCTGGTATGCCAGATACACTGTTTATTCATATTCTCAATAGAACTGAGGGAAAACAGATCCACAGCATTTTTTTTACACTGTAAAATTCCTTCAACAAGGCTAGTCTTCCAGCACTGTCTTTTTTGTCTTTTTCTTTTTTTTTTTTTTTCTTTTTTTGCTATCTCGTTCAGCAAGCTTAATGGTGAGCACCGACTATTAAATAGCCTTTTACATCCCACTTGATATCAACAAATCATTAAGCTGATCAATGAAACCGCAATATCAACCACATAATCCCACAGAATAATGCAAGCCATTCCTTGCAGTAAATTACTTTTCAGTTTGATCAGATTAAGACGTCCTTTGACTATTGCAGAAATCTTCAACAGATTGCTTTATCAAATAGTATGGAATTCAATATTTAGAATGAAACACTAGAATATGGTAAAAAAACAATACAATAGTTATTTTTCGAACAAATGTAAATGCTTCCTATTTGCTTTTCAATGGGGAAAAATAATAAACGTGAATTATAAAACAATGGGAACAAAACTGACTTCATGAAAATTGCCTGAAATTTACACAGGGGGTGTGGGGGATCCTGTGTTATGCTGAACCTTTTATAGTGTGAAAAACATTGTACACAAACATGACAAAGAAGGAGAGTCTCACGAGAATATGCTGTGGTTTCAACATTTGACGATATGAAAAGTCTGTATATTCCAGTAATATGCAAAAATCTTTTTTAAGAGTACAATACTTCAAACCTGTTCTACCAAAGCTTGAATTTATTGGAATTTTCATGTGATTTTACCCTTTGGTTAAGTAGATATTCTAATTGATGTGAAATCATGTCAGATGGGTTAACTTTGAAATTATTTCCTCTAACCTCCACTTAAGGCTAGACTTGCATAAATCTTAAAAAAAAAAACACTTCCTGAAGAGCAATCCTTTGACAATTATATAGTAACATATATTTTTGAAATTCTATGGATATTTTGAATGTTAGAACTACACAGAAATATAAATTTCCTTGTTTGACTACATGTATCAGTGCATCAATTATGTGTTTACTTGGGAATGAGAGAGAAAAAGAATAAAAAGAGAACCAAGGGCTTTGTCAGTATAATATAACCAGACTTGTCAAAATTTTGAAATCACCATCAGACGTTTGGTCTGTTAAAGTCAAATGCTCTGTCAAACCCGACAAAGTTTTGTCAGACCAGATACATGTACCCTATTTCAATGCTGAGAAAGGAAAATAAATAACTCCACCAAAATGCCCTTTATAATTTTCAACAGCCTTCAATCTCACAAATTTCTTTTCTTAGGATAGAGAATCTTTAATCAGAGACATAAATGACATGTTGTATGTCTATACTGTAACAAATTTAATTGACCATTGTCACCACATGGCCATCTTTTCTGTTTTTGTGACCTTCACCTGTGCATCCTTATCCCAATCTTTTTAAAATTTGAGTCATGCTCGATTTTTTCAAACAGTCATTTAGACCGACATTTTCATGAAAATTGTCATCCGGACAAATTTTACAGGCCTTGCCGACAGGACCGACAGTTTTCAACAAGTCTGTATAGCACTGTAAAGTATCCAAAGATAATACAAAAATAAAACAAAATAAACTGAGAAATGAAGATATGTTTCCCAAACTCAAGAGAAATAGGATGATCAGGCATAATTTAATAGTCTAGTACTCAGTAGCAAATCAAATTACATCTATTTACTTGCTTGTACTTGCCAGTACTAATATCAGGGATTTATCAGTACCTTCTCAGGGGCCGAAATTCGGCCCCATTCCCAATTGAAAATGAGTTCAATTTTTCCCAATTTGGTAGTATTTTTTCCTAATTGGTGAACAATGCTTTTATATTTAATTATCTTGGAAAAAAACTCAGTAAAATTGTGAGATTGTCTGTATTTTTCATATATTTATCTCACTTAGTAAAGCTACAGTCATAACACATTTTAAAACACTGTTGGTAAACATCGCCCACTTTTAATCCGAATTTCCTCCGTTTTTCTGAAAATGGTGATATTGTGTAATAATATAGATTTATTAAGTTATTTCCATCTATTCAATTGATCTATAAGTGAATGGTAAGAACTGTAGGCATATATTTCAGATAAAATACATATTTTCAATGCATTTTTACATATTAAAAGGGGACTGAGAAAATGTGTACTTA